ATTTTTAAAAGAAAGCAGTCTATTTTAAAGAAACAAAAAGCTTTTGCATTATTTTGACACATAATAAAAATACCACAATCTGATTTATCTAAAGGTGCTCCTTAAGATATTAACTGTACACAATACCTGACCTATTGTTTATTGTACAAACGTTACACTACGAGGACAAAAGTGGTTCGCAATAATTATGTTGCACAATAATGTTTTAGATATAAGGGGCAGAGAAATTAACATTTAATCTAGGACATTAACCACTATTAGCCTGTATAACTGTACAATTAAATTGAACAGTCAATTTGTCAACATTTTATAAGATTTAACATTTTCATTGAGAATTCAAATATTGTGGAAATTTTATTGTCTGAAAATAGGGCATCTTTTTGTCAAGCTAATCCGTTTCTGCACAGCCTGTTTTGAAAACATAAAAGAGCAAAATGACAAAAAACCAAGGTAGTAGTGCAAATGTTGTTACAATGGTAATTACATAACATCACATATGTATAAACTGCAGCTGTGAGGAATCAGGGCGGGAGAGGGGAACAATTTGGAAATCTCACCTGAGCAGACTTACCTTCTCTTTGTTTTCCTTTAACTGACTAAACCACTTTCAATTTCCAGACTCCTGGATCCTGACTAGTCATTATTATTCCATAGTGGGAGAAGGGGAAAGCCTTTTTTTAAAAAAAAATTATAACCATCCAATCCTATATAGAATTAACTACAAGTCTAACTTAATGGACCTAGACTTGAGTAACTCTACATTAATTATTTTAAAGACCTGTATGACACTCCTCCAGATCTGCATAGGATTGCAGTATAAGTCAATTTTTTCTGCATACACGGGGACTACCCTGAGAGCACAGAAATCCCTATACAATCTATGGATGGCCAGATTTTGTTTCTTTCATTATCGCAATCAGGGGGAAGGGGGATTTTACCACTAGGAATTATGATGTAATCCTGGAAACATTTTCAAGACTGTATGGGGGAGAAGCAGGAGGAAAGGAGATTCGTCTCTCTCCTCCCAGCCTGCTGGTTCATCATCTGCTGTCATGTGCCTTTATGGGTGGGTTGAAAAGGAGAGACAAGAGAGAGGACAAGGGAAAGTAATCTCTGGTCTGGATGTGTGATCCAAACAAGAGTTTTTGGCGTAGCATTTTGTCTCAAATTTTGAGAATGGTGGCAAAACCTCTTCTCTGATCTTTAAAATGGTGACATTTAATGGCAGTTCTAGGTAAGATATATCAGCTATTGACAATCTGGATACTGTTTCACAAGATGAAAGAAAGTCAATGATCATTGTGTTTTGGTCCATCGTAACTCAGCCATTTCATTAATCTTCTGATTCTACATGTTTAGCTATGATTCCACAACTTCCTCTTCTATTACTATTGAATGTACAAGTATGAAACTTTCCCAATACGTTCTTCATATTTTACCTTTTCAGAGAAAATGTCCCAGTTGATTCAAAAACATTTTCCTTATGTTGAATCAAACAGAAGCAGCCTGTACATTAACAATATCAAGGAACCCACAAGGACCTCAACCTACTCTCTACTGGAAATCATTATTCAAAAAAGATGTCTGACAACGCTTGAGGCAAAAATAATTACAATATACTGACATTTTACATTGTACTTTCTTTTTAAATCATAGCATACAGTGAGGTATTACAAATGGAAAAAGATCCAGGCGATTTACTTATTACCATATTACTATGGTGCATTTTAACTGTTTTGCTATATTATTGATAAACTAGTTCACACAATTAAGATTCAGATGAAATTTTGTTAATGTTACAGTATACTGACAGATTTCAATCAGCTGTGCGCTCATCTGCATTCAAGGTTCCAAACAGGAAGGATTCGTTTAGTGTTCACACACTATAACCAATGCTCCCTTCTAAGCTGTGGAGTCTTGTGAGCAAAAATTCTACTTTGTGAGCTACTGGTATTAAAGTTGTGAGTGAACGATTTGGCTACTGCATAAATTAGTTTGCTCTGGAACCATCCTTCCTGAGCAAACACAAAAATGTATGAGCCAGAGGCTAAAAAACTGTGAGCTAGCTCACACTAACTCAGCTTAGAGGGAACACTGCCTATAACTTTTCATGTCTCAATTTTTTTGAATATGCTCTTGGACAGCAACTAGTGGCCTATGGACCAACTTCATCCCAGAGATGACCATCAGTCTTCTTATTGATCAATGTCACCTCCTCATAGCCACTGAATGATTATATAACTAGTAAATACTCTCTAGTTTCTTTTTTGTAGTTCATTTCCAGTCTTTCAGCATAGGAAAGAACACGTGGGCATAATTTCCTATTACCAGTCAGTTTCTATATTTAAGATTTTAATTAATTTAAATACAGAATGGGCAGATTTTAGAGTTTATTATATTTTAAATTTAATTCAAATTCCAGTGCTGTAAGTTGTCTTAATTTGTATATTGTTTAAATTTAAATTTTAAATTGTAATGGCCATTGGCTACACAATAAATTTTACTACTACTACTACCACTACTACTACCACCACCACCACCACCACCACTACCAGTCAGTTATCAAAAAATTGACAATGATAATTAGTTTGCTGTCCAACAAATATTCTCTTGTTCTATTTCCCTGTTGCTACTGTGATGGCGTTCATATAGTACTTTTTTGCAGTGCTCCAAAGGGAATAATACAGGGCTGTGAAAGCATGAAAGACTGCAGAGGAAGCACATGAATGAAGAGAGCTAGCTGGCTATACTGGTGTCAGCAACAGATCTGTTCCCTTGGCTAGTCACAAGACCAACTGAGCAGATGTCACCCACACATATAGTAATTGTTATAATCAATTGTAGTATCCAGGGGCAAAACAATGGAAAATAAATACTATAACTGAGTAACAGAAGAATCCATCCAGGGTTCTGTTGCACTAGTGGTGGAACCCACCTCCAGCACAAGGAGACTTTCACTGGTGGAACACACCTCTTGCATCAGAGAAAGCAACCTTGCACTGGATGAAGACGCCAACATTTAATGGGACAAAACCTTTGGAACCAATCCCTAATACTTTGGGATTTGTCATCACTGTATCTTGATCAAACTTTTTATCTTAGCATTATAGTTCTGCTACAAACAACATCACTTTACTCTGCTCTGGTTAGACCTCACCTAAAGTATTGAGTTCACTTTTGGGCACCACAATTTAAGAAGGATATAGACAAGCTGGAACATGTCCAGACGAGGGCAACAAAGATGGTGAAGGGTCTGAAAACTGAGTCCTATGAGAAAAGGTTGAAGGAGCTGGGTATGTTTAGTTCGGAGAGGAGATGACTGAGAGGTGATATGTACTTGAAGGACTGTCATATAGAGGATGGTGCAGAGTTGTTTTCTGTTGCCCCAGAAGTTAGGACCAGAACCAACAGGTTGAAATTAAATCAGAAGAGTTTTCAGAACTTCCTATTTGATGCAACAGAAAGAAATTCCTGATACTATAGATCTGTTACATTTAGGATGAGACAATTAATAGTGTACCAATGACTGTTAAGATTAATAGATGTATGGAATACATATGACATATGTGGTGATCTGTTATAATTGGTATTGTATTTTGTTACTGAGATTGTTGTTTATGTACACTCGATTGGAAAATCCTGTATTTATTGTCTACTGCAATTTTTTATATTTTAATAAAATGTAATTTTTTAAAAAGGAAGAACTTCCTGACAGTTAAAGCAGTTCCTCAGTGGAACAGGCTTCCTCAGGAGGTGATGGGCTCTCCTTCTTTGAAGGTTTTCAAACAGAGGCTAGATGGCCATCTGTCAGCAATGGTGACTCTCTGAAGTTAGGCAGTTCATGAGAGAGAGAGCAGGAAGGGTTCCATCCAGTCCTTACATGTCTGTGTCATTTTTAAAACTTGTTAAAGTACTATTAATGCCTTACTTCTACGTAACTTCTGGCAAGTCTGATTTTCATTCTAATGATGTACATGTAGCATTTTCTGAAGCAATGTTTATTACATCATTATTTGTACCCTATTCTTACTAGTCTCTGTAAAGACAAGCCTGAGCACAATGTTTATAGTATTTGCAATCCCATATTTTACTTTCAAATAACACTATAAAACTTTGATATTTGTCAGAAAAATACATTATTTTATTCTAAACAAGGAATACATTACCGGCCATTAACCACACGTAAGGGATGCAATCTATGTTCATTTATATTTGTTAGGGTGCTTTATTTGCAAAATTTTGAATATGAACACTATCTAATAGTTAATGCAGCCATCTGTACTTCTTTGCCGGGGGATAGGCAGTGAGCAAGGTGAATTTGTATGCTTCAAAAGAACACAGCTGGCTGATGTTAGAATTTCTTCTTTGCACACTTCCAACAATTATTTGCTAAGAAACAACTGAAGAAGGACACCTCAAAAAAAGAGGCAGCTTCATACACTTAAAACCAGCACATTCTTCTCATTCGGTGGGAAGAATCTAATCATTCCCGCTTGGCACTGAACCACCAAGTTAATAACATATGCAAAAAGTAAGAGATTGTTGCTAAACAGCTATGACTTTTATGGTTTCCTAATAAAATTTTCTACTCTAGGTCTATGGGAAATCACATGTCCATTACCACAGTTACAAAACCACTGTAGGAGCAGATTTATATAGAGATGGAGGAAAGTAGGTGGGCAAATAATTTTGCTGAAGTGAGATTCATGGTCCTCTCTGACAGAGACATTAATTTCAGAACACATTTAGAAATCTCCATCCGAGAGAGGTATGCATGACTCACATTATAACAGACACAGAAGTTACTTGTATTTCTTCTTGCATAGCTTCTTGGTAACATGTGGAGCAGCTCCCAGAGGCATGCAACAGTTTATGAGCTGAAGGGAAGGTAACACGACAAATGCATGCACACAATGATGGAAAGGTGCTATCTTCAAAACCATACCTCATACTCAATTGCTTAAATTTATGGTATTTAATAATTAAAATAAGCCAAACACTTACAGTCCATAAATCTGTGGTGCGATCTCTAGTCTGTTCAAATGCATGTAGAGTTCCGTATCATGCTTCTTTAGCAAATGATCTTGAATCTGGTTTACTTTTCCGACAATAGCAATTGATGGACCTAAATCTTGTGGTCTTGCAAATGGGATAGGTGTCATCATTGTGTCTTTCTCCTGGAGAAAATAAGGAAATATGGAGAAATATGAAAATATATAATTAAAAGGTTACTAGATAGCATTCCAAGACTAAAGCCCACTAGGAGTAACAATGTTTACTTACAAATTGCTGAAATATAAATACTGCAATATGTCCAGCAGCCGACTTTTCTTACAGATAAAAAAGAACTGTCTGCAAATTTAATTATGATTCCAGAGTATGATACAGCTTGGTTGTAGGTATTCTTTTAAAATTAATTACTCATAAAAAACTCCAACACAAAGAAGAGGCAAACCCTCCACTTTGCAGATATCATAAGGTGTTACAAAATCCAATTTTCCAGTTAAAAGATGGGATTCTCTATCAATCTTGCCAACAAGTCCCTATGGGGAGAAAGGTGAGTCGAAACCATTTTCAAATAAATAAATATACCTCATATTTATCCTGCCTTTTCTTCAAATACCTCAGGGTAGTTCACATGCTTCACATTCCCTACCACAATTTTATCCCTACAAAAACCTTGTGAAATAGGTTAGGCTGAGAGTGAGTGACCGGATCAAGGGCACTAAGTGAAACTCATGCCTCAGTGGAGACTTGAACTCAGTCCTAATCTGACATTCTAACTAGTCTACCACACTGGTTATCCAGGTAGCAGGATCTTATAGTCCATTTTTGTTATTACTTAACTACTTTTATCAGATCTCTAACAAGCTAGTTCTCTAGTGTTTTTGCTACAGATAATCACATGGTCACTGTTCTAGTGTGATAGAATAGCCAACAAATAATAGTACACTAGAAAATAAAAAAGGTTATGATGGAAAAGATTTCCTGTCCACACAAGTCAGTTTTGTCAAATTGTGAAGTAGTTCAAGAAAATACCCTTCAAACACTCTTCTAAAACTTTCTTTAGAAATGTTAATTCCAGCATCCGTTCTAATCCAATAAACTATTAATAACCATATTTGATTACTTAGAAACAGCAAAACCTTTAATGGTTCTTAAATCAGTATTTACCTTTTGACCATCATGCTCATAGGTTGAAAACCAGTGTCCTGCTGTTTTCATAAGATGGATAAACATGGCACTGAAGAGAAATAATTTTTTTTGTTAAGCATGATTATGCCAATAACAACAATGGCAAAAGATATATAGTGTAAAAAGAAAATGAAATTCTTGAAACCTACTAGGCATCGTGCTCTAGGTATTCAGGGTTCAAGAGAACTTTTGTTTCTTCACTGTTAAATATAAAATCCATATCATATCAAAGATTATTTCTGGTACATTTTTAAGCAAAGTTATATTAGAACCATAAGTAAGTAAAACTAGGCTTTATAATTAAAGAGAGTAACTCCACTGAAGACAAATGAAGTCCTTACTCTCTCTAAAGATCAAAAACAAATTAGCTGCCTTGTCTGCACTACAATGAAGTAACCATCTAATTATTCCAAATAACAAATTACTGAATGCCACAATGTATTATTTGAATATGCTTGATCCACAATAATTGATCACTCTACAATCTATCACTGTTTGTTGAAAACAAAAAAAAAGTATGGTTACTGGTCAAATACAGAATATCAAAACAGTAATTTATTTTAATAGAATCTATTTTTAACCAATGTTAGCCGCAATTAATCAGTGACAACACCTCTTATCCATTTTCTTCTCTGGCTAGAGCTATAGTAGAGAAGAGGGATACTCTGCACAATACACAGTTACTTTGAGCAATATGACATTTTCTTCTTAATATATGCTCTTTACATTGCCCAGTATCCAAAAGAGCTGTGTATGGAACACCGTACACAAATGACGTTGTCTTAACTTTACCCTAGGTTCTCCAAAAAGCTGCTCCTGGAGGCTGGGGGAACATGAAGCCCTGGTATATAATATGCAATACCTTGGATTTACATAAGGGTTGCCAGTTCTGGGTTGGAAAAGTCCTGTAGATTTGGAGATAGATCCTGGGGATAGTGTGGTTTTGGGAGAAGAGGAATAAAATACCACGGAGGGATAAAATACTAAGCAGCCATTTCCTCCAGGGGAACTGATTCCTGTAACCTGAAGAGCAGCTTTAATTGCGGGAGATATCTAGGCCCTAACCTATGTGGAAGTGCCTCCAGTTTATGGAGGGGGTTGCATAGTGATTAGCACTCTGAAAGCTGATAGTAATAATAATTTAGCAGTGCATTAATTCATTCATTCAGCAGTGGAAAAACAAGTGCAGATTCTTGTCATCTCTCATGGGTATTGTCCTTTCAATACAGTACGCTTTAATTCAGAAAAAATGGTCTAGGTACAGAAGTGGAATAACCTTCCTAGACTAGAACGACTGGATAGAAAATGAATTCACGTTCTATTCCTGTAAGGAAAGTTCTGTATTGAGGACTGCAAAGAGAAACCATGTTGTAAAAAGGGCAATGGGATTTTAAATGCTACTAGATACCGAGACTGACCATAGCAGGATTACCACAAAACTTGTGGAGCCACACAAAACCGACCCAACAGGCAAGAAAAACCTAAAAGCTTTAATTGCAAGGCAGAACAATGAAAACATTTACATGCCATTTACCACCTAATTCTTTATTGGAATATTTATGTACTCATGATTTGTAAGAAATGAAGATACATGCTTGAACATACTAGTCAGTACCTGCCAACAAAACATCTTTCCTTTGCATTTATTACCACTGTAGGGATGGAAATGACCATGAAAAAAGCTGAAAGGTTTAAAGGCAACGAGATTCTGCATTGGCTTTTCCCTCTATTGTTTTATGAAACTCACATTGGAACAGAAATTCCTCTCTGCATCGCATGCTACTTTCACTTCCTTCGATCATCAGATTTTATGGTAGCCTCCACACTCCATGTCGCTTTCACTTTCTTTGATAATTGGGTTTTATTGTACCTTCTGCCATTTATGGCCATTTTATGGCTGTTCGGGGATGACTTTGCAGTCAGTATGGCATTGCCCCAAGGTATTTCAATGTGGTTTCCAGCTGCACTTTTTCATCCCAGTTGAGAAAATGTGGAGCGAATGGTAGATGCAGAATCACCCCCAGCCTACTTCTTTAGTTCTAACATTTGAACAGGGCCTAATACTCCAATACCAACATGTGTGGCTGTTTATTTGCTGTTGCATCATCCTTGCAACATCATGACTTTTGACAACTATCACTACATTACAAACGACGTTAGTTAGTTGCAGCTTTCAGGATCAATACACTAAAAAATGGAGAAACAAGGCAGCCTACCTTGGTTGTGCAGCTTCATTTGCATGTAGAAAAGCCTGGTGGTCACAATGAAGAATGAATACGATAGGTGCTAAGAGTTCATGCATGCCCTACAATTAGGAAAAAACAAACCCAAAATTTTATTTCAAGTGTCAGGAATGTTTCAACTCTGCACCTAATGAGCCGGTAAATATCACTGTAGCATAAAAATGATTAACAATCCAATGGTTTTACTGTAAATTACAGTAAAACCAAGTGTTTACTGTCCTATAAAGTACAGACAAGAAATTCATCCCATTTTTTAAACAGAAAGATGTCAATACATCACAATTCATTGCTCAGCAGCTTCACCAAGATCTATATGAAGAATTATTATTTTACGTAAAAAGGGCAGCTATAAGGTACTTGTTTAACAGACAACTAAGGATAAAAAAGTCATTTCATTTTTTAAGGATAAAAGGATTATTAGAAACAGCTGGCAAGTAAAAAGCCATTTACATCCTAGAATACAGACCTAAAAGGAAAGGCATCTAACCCAATGACAATCAACCAAAAGTGGGAATTCAACATCTACATTCTTAGTGCATTTGATTGTACCATCTGGCATACACTGGATCACAAGTAAAAGAAAGTTTGTACTTTCTCACAGAGTATGGTTGTCACACACACCCGATAGGGGTGGGGGTTTACCAGCTTTTAGGCCCCCCAATCTACTGCTGCCAAGAAAGCCAGAGGGGGGAGCCCTGCCCCCAAACAGTCCTGTCCGTGCCCGGCACAATGACATCACCATAGAGTTTTTTCTCAAATGCTAAAACACCCCCCGCAACATGCCCTGCAAGATGACGTCACTTCCAAATGATGTCATTGTGGTGTGTGCACTTCACATGCGTGCCAAAAAACCCCAAAGAAGAGGACCCCCCCCGCTGGCAGCCAGGTAAGACCTGGCAACCCTACCACAGAGGGTGTTAAGAAATCTTTATGTTATGTACGTGGACCGCCACCAGGGGTCCGCGGCACATGCAGGAGCTTGGCTCCTGGAACAAAGGAAACTTTGGATCCTGGTTTTCCCCAGCCCCAACCAATAGCCACGGCGGGACATTCAAACCCTCCAATGGGAATGGGGGGTGCTGGGTGGATATGTATATAGTTGGCCCTGTCGGGCCGTTAGAGTTAGTCTTAGTTGGAGTGAAGTACAATAAACGTGTGCAAAAGCATGTCGTCGACCGAGTCCTCCATGCAGCGAACCCAGTACTTTACACTTTACTAATAAAAAAGTTGCATATTACAAGAATAAGGAAAACTAATAATCAAATTCCTTGTAATGTCAGATATGATAACTAAAAAAACCTAGCCTGTTAGGTATATATGACAGAAGGGTCTTCCTTTTCTGTTTATGCTGTTTCTATGTTGTTCTATAGTGTTATTCTACTGCATTGCTGGTTTCAGTACTTTTGGTCTTCTGCAACACAATTCTATGCAGTTATTCCAGTCTAAGGGCCAAACTAGATGATACTGCGTCCCTGATTCTGCCATAGGGACATGACACCATTTTAGAGCCTTTAAAAAAAAACAAAAAAACCCCTTTCACAATGGTGCCATTTCCTTGTGGTGGACTCGGAGACGTTATACTGTAGTTTGTTCCAAAACCTGTTTTCAAGAGGAATACACTGGAAGAACTCAACATGAGATTGTACTGTTAGTCTTGGGCTGTGATCTTAAGTTTTATGCTGCTCTATTGCTGATATAATCTTGCACAGGTGGTGTATCAATACATCTAATAAATAAATACACTTTGTAACAGCTATTGTGACATATTACATCCATCTGTATTACCTAAAAGACAGCCAAAATACTGAAATAACTAAACCAGAGGTCTGTGACTACTCTGTACACCAGGTTTCCCCAACTTTGTTGTGCCTGTGAACACTTTCTGAGAAATGGTATGAAGCCCAACAGAAAGCCATGGAGGCAATTTCAATAATTTTGGGAGGTTTCAAGCCTATGATGGGAACACTTGCTTTCAATTTGGTGCTCTTTGCAGACCCAAAGACTATGTATGCCCCCTGGGCTCCTCTGAGGTACCTCCTGTTAGGTAAAAGAAAGACAGGGTTGGCTTTTTGGTTTGAAGAGGTATTTTGGGGGGAAAGAATGTAGGCACCTGAGAACATTTGTCAGCACCATGGTACCCATGGGCACCACACTAAGGATCATAGCCACACACAAATGTACTGGGGGGAGTTAAAAACATATTTTTGCTCAAGGAACAGGGTTTTTCTTCACCTGCCAGGGAACATTCAGGAAAGGTATATGAAATGAGGCTGCAGCTGAAAGAGGGAATCCACAAAAATCACAAACTCCTTGTACAAACATAAGTGCCTTCCATTAATGCAAGCAAGGATTGAGATGCAACCAGATGTTTCCATTCTATTTCCATCAAGTATTATTTTGAAAAAAGTACGGTCTTTTATGACTATTTGCTTTTGGTGCTAATATTTGCATATAATCAAATTGATCTCTGTCCACAATATAAAGTGTAGCAACAGTGGTGGTCAATTTCTAGCCATTTTAATTTTGTCATTGGTTTGCACTATGAAATGTTTCCCCTTGAGTATAAAAAAGTAGTTTAAACTTTCCCTGAATATTGCTCATGCCTATACTTGCAGGCTCAGTTGTAAAACAATGTCTTGAGGTCATATTGGAAAGACCACTTACAAACAGATAAGCTGAGTATGTAGGATAAGACCTTCAAAGGAAAATCAATAACTATTGGCTACCTAACTCCTATAATCCTCTTGAGAATCCCTATGTTGTTAATAAAACAAAGCTTGGACTCTGCAGAAACTGGTGGGCTACTGTTCACTAGTGATTAGGTCAAACGATCAGGTATATTGGAAGCCTTCCAGCTTTGATTTGCTGTTCACTCAAAATCCCACACTGCTATTTTGTTATGTAGGTTGTTTTGGAAATAAATGTTCAGTGCAAGTGTAGAAACTCCTCTGTCCCTTTAGGCAATGCCTGCCCTTGAACATATTTGAAACCTAAATTCTTCAGCAGAGGCTAATCTTTCTGAGTGGGCAAGGAATCTGCCAGGCCTCCATTGCCAACAAATGACTGGGAGAAGAGAGAAGCTATGGCTTCATGAATAGAAGAAGTTTTAACTAGCATTAATGCCACTGTCCACCTTTAGCTGTACACACAAAAGACAGGGCTGTGAATTAGAATCCTGATTACTTGAGAGTGTGATGCTTGGGGGCTAGCATACATACCAGCCATGAATAGCAGCTGCAACCACCAGTAGAGTTTGATTAAGTGAACTCTTGTGTCCTATAATATTCAGCTACTATACTGTCAACTATTGATGGACCACAATATATGGTAAGTGAATAACATACTGGATAATGTTAATTTTGAATAGTAAAGATAGGTGTGAAAAATAATGTTAAACATGGAAGAGACAGGGAAAGGGGGGGGCAAGAAGCTACAGTGAAAGCACAACGGCAAAAGAGAAATTGTATGGATTTGACTGTGAGACACAATAAATGATTCCCTTTCTTCCATTTTGCTATAAATTCTTGGTATAACTAATTGTTAAACTGCTTGGGCAAAGAAGTTTGGTTTGGAAAAAGGAACTGTCAGTTAAATTTTGCTTTCAGATACAACCAGATCTCACATATTTAATTTTAACATGATTTCTTAGAGTACAAGGACAACAAAGGATCTTTCAAATATAAAGCTGCAGCACTGACAATGCTACTACTAAAAGGATAGTATACAAACACATTTGTTGGTCACAAAATATACAGACCGTCTGCTATTCAAATATAATATTGAATAAAAGTATTCTGACATTGTTCATTGTTTTATCTACACGAACAATGCCCTACGTAAAGGTTTAGCAACTGGTGATGTATAACATTTCCAAGCCTTTAAAAGTACTTTCCAAAGACTGCTTCATAAATAATGGCCAGAACCACGTGGAACTGAAGACTCACCATGCAAATATTTATTTATTTTTATTTAAATATTTATTTATTTAAATAGGTTGAACCATGAGGAAAGGAGCTTTCAAACACTGTTATTATTGTCAAATGTTACAAAATGGAAGTTATATTCAATAGTTTTCCATGCGGAGAACATAACTTTTTGAACTGATCCTATATATGAACCCATTCAGGGTTAACAGTACCATTAAATTAACCATTTGTACTAGAAAGAGGCTAATGGCTGTGCATAGGATGGCCCCAGCACTGTTCTGTTGTATGTCAGTACCAGCAGTGTGTTGGCCCTATGTCCCCGACCCTCTCTTCTGATGGTTAACAACAAACAGTCTTTCCAAAACCCTTGACAGAAGTGGACAGGAGCAACATTTGGGAGCTACACTTCAGGCTAAGTGGTTTGCTTCAGTGTAAATCATGCTGTGCAACAAGAAACAATTCATTATTAGTTATCCAGAAAATCTTGAATGCAAAGAGGATACTAAATTGTGCACCATTATTTAACCATGTAAAGAAGACTGCTGTGTCATTAGGCTTTTTTTCAGGATACTGATACAAGTGATACAAGTCAGGAAGATTATATCTGTAAATGACTGGAACATTCCACTTGTAAGGAAGTAATTTCTTGATGACATTAAAATACTATAAACATAAATTATTTTTATTTATTTTAATTCACTTATACCACAACTTTCTGCCCAGCGGGGACCCGAGGCAACTTACTTTCTCCTTTCCTCCATTTTATCCTCACAGGCCCCAGTCACACCGGCTGGATATCGCGGGGGGGGGGGCGTGGCTGTTTGCCCCGGAGCGAACTACTGCGCGGCAGCCGGATCAAAAGTCCCGCCTGACGTCCAATGGTTGGGGGGAGGTGCCGATCATACCTCACTCCTGCGGCACGGCAAAGAAGCGGCGCCGCGGAGGTTGTGTTGGTTTTTTTAACCTAAGTGTTCGCATGCGCAGTTGGGTGCTTGTGTGCACCCGTGGAGACTTGACAAAAAAAACTTTTTGCAATGGGACTTGGGCGGGCGCCGAATGCCATGAGCTAACACCGGAAACGTGATCTGACGCCCACCCTTGCCCCGCGCTTTCCGGAAACTAGTACCTCGGAGGTT